CAATGATATTGTAACTCACATGAAACATGTAGAATACTGCAATGAGAAACTGACAATACAACATGCCAACAGGTTTTGGATTCAGCCTTTTAGGGTTCAAATTCAACCGGAAGAAAACGGTAAAAAGGGTTGACAGAAAAGTGGCGGGAAACGCGATATGTAGGCGTTCTGGGTCTGTCTAAGCACGGGAAAGAGCCAAGGGTTGATCAAGAGCTTGAGAAAAATATCAGTGACGGTAGTAAGAGTTACAGTGTTAATGCATACAACCAGTGGACTCCTAACAGTATAGAACCCATCAGACCAAACAATCTCACCATAATCGTATCTCCCTTGTGACACCTTTTTGGTTTCAGAGTGACGTAGTACGAGAGTTCACATGTGAAATATGAGAAAAACAAGATTCTTGGCCAAACTGTAATCTCTACTTCATGAGGACTAAGAATTTTGGTAAAGTATATGGCCGTTTTCTTGGCACCCACATTTCAAACTGTCTTTTTGTTAGTGACAGTGGGCTCAAGACTAGAAACGGTTTCGAACTATTTTTTTGTTAGTGACAACGGACTCAAGACTAGAAACGGTGATGGATGGATAATTCAGATTTGTGTTGGTCTTGAATTCTTTTGGGCAGATTACGGGAGTTCGAGGTGGGAGATTGATGATTCTCTTGATTTGATCTTTGGTGTAGCCATTGTTGCAAAGGAAGAGAATGTAATCATCAGCCTTCATGTCGTAAACCAGGCCTGGGTCCATTGCTTTCATGGGGTTAAGGTGGCCAGCTCCTATGTCAAATGGACTAGATTCTTCATTTGATCCCCCCAGCAAATGTGGTGTCATGATTCGTGTCCCTGTTGTAGGCTGTTGTGTTGATCCTCTCTCTCAGTGATTTGATGATAATCCCTTTTTCCTTTCGATGTATTTCTGTGTCTGTAATTTCAGTTCCAGCGATCATACACTGAGCTTGTTCAGTGATCGCTGAAGAACTTGTTTTGTAATTCATTCAGAGACAACGATAC